TTACATACTCTTGCCTCCTTGTCACTGGGCAGGATGAATCGTCTTGTCGGACTATGAACGGTATCTTTTCCAGGCCACTCCGTGCAACACCAGGTCTATGAGTCTTTTGGATCTACTCCCATGGACAAAAATCTGAACTGGGACAATCGAATGGATAATAGTGATAATAGTGGCAAATCATATCGCACATATCACACCTGGGTCGCTCCATGTAGGACCAGTACTATGGGTGTTGGAAAGGTGTTCCTATATTCTGTTGAGTACCAACATGTTCCTGGCTGGGGCCCTGGATGGCCCTGGCACTTGGTCAAACCCCCTCCTGGCTTGATGAAGGTATTTCCTGGATAGTCATCTGCATAGACGACTTCCACCGGCTCTGCAATGAAGGGTTCCTTGCAGTACCTGGGTGCACGATGCTCCACCATGCAGGGCTAGGGATGGCTAGGGCAAGGTCTCAGAACATCTTGGAATATGGATCACGGGCAACCGACCAAATCGCGTTATATGAGTGAATAGCAACATTTTAAGCAATCATAAGTCAATAGTCACTACGAAACTTCACTGTTAGTGTATGTTAGTGTAAGGTATACTGATGTACTGAACATGCCTGAGTCAGTCCCAAAAAAAAACATGCACGGTCCATGACGGCGAAGTGGATCTCGCCGTCCCTCGGTCGGTCCGACTCCAGTTCCCTTCCGACCCAGTGACTCCGCAAACATGGTCACCACGGTGTTGAGCACCACGTTGGCCTTCGTGAGGTCAGTGGCAGTACATTCCTTGGTCCGACTCATTGGGGATATCATGAGAAGCCAGAAACTGAGCGTTTCTTTTATGTGGAGAAGTGGTGGTGTATAGCTGTGACATGACATTGCGGGCTAAGCTGCTGCCAGGTGTGACATGAATGAAAACGCGGAGGCACCAGAAACGGATAAAAATCAAAAGCGTGTTCTGCTCTGCATGAAGAGTCGATGAAGACATCTTTGGTTTCCAGTTTAATCTTCGAATGCTCTCCGTTGATGATGGGGGGCAAGGACAGCACCACTCGGTTGCAGTCGTAGATCACCGGGTAGACCGGGCTGTCACGGATGATGGGCAAATAGGTCTTCAGCTGCTGGTGTGCTGACAGGACCTCCATCATCCGGTTGCCATCCATCCTGAGATTCCAACCATGCGCGCGGGCCATGTCTGGTGGCCAAACCCTGTGTTGAGCTGGTTTGGACAAATCATCATTGACAGACTCATGCACTAGTAGTGCAATCTCGTCGTAACGACGGAGGTGAATGAACTTGTTCAGGTGACATTGCATTCACTTGGCCCAACGTCAGTGCAACATAGTGCAACTCTATATTATAGAACATGACACTCCCTTTTTCAGCACTTTAAGCCCAACTCCATTCTTATGCAGATTAAGATACTGGTAGATTAAGATAGATTAAGTAGGTATGGTCCAGTCTTGAAACAGTGACCAGTGACTTTTGCTTCACCATGCTTTACCATGGGCCGTCGCAAGCACCGCCGCTATCCTGGTGACCGTCCCATCACTCACCGAGACTCTCTTCCGTCTGGTTCAAAGGAGTGAAGAGGATCTCCTTGGGCGGCAGCGCTTCGTAGGTGAAGGGCGGCTTCAACGTGGAGAGGTCGTGAGTCCCAATGGCCACCTGAGGTGAGGAGAGGAAAAGCGAGCGGAAGCGAGGTCCTGAGAGGTCCGACCTCATCGACCTCCGTCGCCACCTTGAAACATGAGGCAAGAATTACCACAAAGGCTCATGTCACATGTCTGTCGTTCCCCCCGGCCATCCATCCACGTTTCATCCACCGGTCGCCCAGTCGCCAAGGTCCGGCGTCTGCAGATGTTTTGATGCAACTTGTCCTGGAGCTCGATGAAGCTCTCCTCGGCAAGGATGCTGCTAGGGGCTCCTGGCCATACTACTAGGAGCAAGGACACTATTAGGAGCAAAGGGCATCTAAAAGAACGGAGCTGCCGCTCTTCGGGTCTCGGACGCTCATCGCTGACGCTCTTCTTCGGCCGAAGGGGCGTAGCGATCCTGGTCAAAGGTCACATTCCGCAAGATCGCGCACACCACGAAGGGACGAATCTGTGCAGTCTCTTTCTTCACGGTCATCGTCATCCTTAGAGGGTGAATCGGGACAACGACCGGTGTGGCCGTGTGGCCGACTTCGTCACCGGAAGATTCTCGATGCTCAGCTCCCAATCCGGAGCTCATGGTCCAATTACCCTACCTCCTACATCACACATCATCTTATCCACCAGTCCAGCATGGAGGAAGACAGAGTGCCACTGGTGGCGGACCAAGCATCTGCGGTACCGGCTTGGGTGAAGAGAGCTTGTAGAGCGGCGCTGGGATGACGCCCTTGAAGATCTGGAGTGCTCGGACTAAGCCCTCGATGCACAGCAGGTCGTAGCCTCGGAAGGGCGAGGCCCCCGCGAACAGCGCAGATCTTTGGGCGTCTTGGATTAAGTGTCATATGGAACAACAAGCAACACAACACCTATGATGCCAGCACATTGTAGGTCAGTTGTCAGTGTCAGTTACTGGTGGCCTTTTGGAAACGATTCTCTCATATCTGATGGGTGTGTGATCACGATGTTATTATAGATTAAGGCAAAATGAATGCAACCAACTGTCCAGCCTTTCTGTACAACCCCATTAGGGCCGCCTGCCAGGCCAGGGTCTGCCTGTCACTTCTCAAGCCAGCCAAGCTACGATTGGCTGGGACATCCACTTTGAAGATGACACGGTCCTCAGGCGGTGCGCACATTTCTGTGGATGATTGAGGCATATTGGGACGATCATCATGGCCCGCAAGGTTGGAACATGTTGCAGCTACAGTCGCACCTAGACCTAGACCTTCGAGCTCTTTCTCTCGTGGTTTGTTCCACAAAGACATCGGACATGTGGGCCACATATGGCAACATAGGCGTAAGAGTAGGGAAATCAGCGTAAGTTGAATCAGGAAAAAAAACATGGGATGGGCATGACTACTTAGGAGTTTTCAAAGTGAGCAAAAGCCCGCAAGACTAGGTACCCTACACGAAGCCGCCGCCTCTTTCAGTCGAAAATCCACCAAAATCGTGTGGTTCAAAGATGCTCAAAGGGTCATGTACACCATCGAAGAAAGCAAACCACAAACAGCCAGGTCATCTATGAATCTATGTACGAACACCTCCATCGCAAGCCACATCATGAAGTTCGAGTTTCGTGTAATTAGCTTCGTATTGAAGCAGAAAAACACCATTTGTCGGTGTGTTTGCTTGTCTTCATTTCTTTGGACCTTTCGCTCTTTGACCTCTCCTATCTTTCCCTTTTCTTTCTTTCTGTCTTTCTGTTCTTTTCTTTTCTTTTCTTTTTTCTTTTCTTTTCTTTTCCTTCCTTCCTTCCTTTCTTTCTTTCTTTCTCTCTCTCTCTCTCTCTCCCATCACATAAACCATCACCGTGCCGAGCCAAGATTCACTTAAGCCTTCAGCTGCTTGAGTCCCTCGCTCCTTCTCCACCTCACGTCACAAGCCGTTGTTCTTACCCTGCTTTAATAACCGGAAACATCAAGAGCTGGGGTAGATTCCAGTCCTAAAGCACAGTGTTCGGTGTTCACATCGGAATCTAGATGGCACAGTGAACGCGACGAATTTAGAATCGGTGCATAGTTCAGTGCAGCTTTCATCTCGAAAGCGACGTGAATGTCGAAGGCAGGCGGCCATGGCTTTCTGCGAGGTGACATCATCCAACTCCAAGCCGAACTCGAAGCAAAGCCTTGCGTGGAAGGACGAAATCTGGACTGAGAGTCAGGATCCGGTAGTGACAGCAACATGTCCATCAGTTAATCAGTTCTTTCCGTGGATGCACTAGTGATGAGTGGGTGCTTTTGCACTCAGTTAGGTGAACACAAAGCTCCACGCACGCACAGCTCTTACGTTTCTTGCGGCATCCGCAAAGCCCTTGCTTTGCGGATAGCCTTTTGAGGACCGGCGGACCGGCCACCGATAGTGAGAACCCGATTTCACCCACCATGCCAGGGCACTCGTCAAAACTCTCCTCCGTCACATCAGTGCCCAGGGCCTTCTGGAGGGAATCGAAGAAGACACCTCGCCCGACACCCTTGAGACCTCGCCCTTCATCTCAATCACCCCAAACATTCTGCAGATTCTTGCTCCAAACATTCTGCAAAAGGATGTTGAGCAAAGGTCGCCAAACATCCAGAAACCATGAATAAAGAACTCACTGCCTACGCTGCCCCTGAGCGCATGGCTTACGGTCGGCATCCTCGTGCACCCCGCAACCCCGAGGGCTGCGCACTTGGGCCAGAGCGCAGGCCAGCGGACCAAATTTCAACGCTACGAACTGGAGGCATCCGAGGGGCAAGCTTCTAAGAAAACCTTGGTGGAGGAACCACGGAGGGGTCCCAGAAAGCATCATTTAATCCCGTCTTTTGGTGCAAGTGGAGGCAATCCAGTATGACCAAAGCAACACTAGCTCTCGTACGTAACATGTAGATCCTGGTGTATATAGCACCGTCGCACAGTGAAGCACCAAAAGAAGCACAGCAAAATTGAGTCAAACAGATTTCACGGGATTCTCAGGACCAGTCCTGCAAACGCGGCCGCCCCGCAGCTGGTTCGACAGGAAACATGTGAGTCCTAGTCTTCCTTCCGAATATCAAAGCCAGAAACTTCTGTTTGTCACACTTGCCTCTACTACACATCAAACAATACCAACTTGATACTTCTGTGCCGAGCGTCAAGCCAAAATAAATTTCAACATCAAGTCTACGCTTTTGGTTTAGAGAATGTTAGCCTCTAATTTCGCTTACTAGTAGCCAGGACGCTACTAGGGTGGAGGCCATCGCTACTAGGGGCAAGGGTGCTACTTAAATGGAAAACCACCCGTAGCCTTCTGTCTCATGGGATTTACATGGTCATGTCCTCACAGCCTGGGGGTGTCCTCACAGCGCGCGTACACAAGGGGGTGTCCGCCGAAAACCTCTTCTTCACTCCCGAACGGAAGAAATCTAGGGTGAAACAGTGAAACTCTAAACATCTCTAAACATCTCTAAACACATGGAGCGTTCTTGCTCCTAGTAGTACGGCCAGGAGCTCTAGTAGCGTCCGTTTGTAGCGATGCCCTTTGCTCATGGTGAGACATAGGTGTCTTCTCTTCTCTTCGCCCCGTCTGACGACGCCAAGTATATAAGTCTGACGCTTTCTTGGTCAGTGAGAAGCTCCTGTCGCTACGCTCATGTGACGACACAGGAATGAGATTTGCGACGTTCACCTGCGAGCAATGCACGGTTTGCATCCGCCACGTGTTCATTGTGACATCTCACTTGCCAACGCAAACTTGCAATGGCACCAGCAGCCGCCGCCGAGAGGGAAAGAACCAGCTCTGTAGGCTCAAAAAAGGAGGGGAGGAGACCCAGCACGTGGTGGGAGAAAATGCCCGCGGCTGAACCAATCATGAGGCTGGGAAAGAGGTTGACTTCTTCACGGCCTGGTTCCTTGGCCAAGAGTTTGGCCAACAATGGATCCATCCTCACGCTTCTCCTGAGATTACCCACCTTGAGCTCCAGCTCCTTTTCCGATCGGCATGTCATAAAGAGATGCTGATGCCGTGCCATGATGATCATGATCAGATGCCTGAGTGGGCCACGTGGATCATTCGGAACCACCGTGCCCACCGGAAGCACCAGGCGATGCAGGAGACGCACATGCCATTCAAAGGCTTGTATTTCTGGAGTGTGGGCTTCGGTCAGAAGGGTTGAGAGCAAATGCCTTACAATATCCATGAAGATCTCTTTTCCACCCTTGAAGCGTTGGAAGATCTGGAACAGGTCTGGCCATTGGTACTCTGTGGTGTCCCACACCTTCTGAGCATCCAGCATGATTTTCTCCCTCCTTCGAGTCCAGTCATGTTCGAAATAATCTTTGAGGTGGTACCGGTCATAGAGCAAGGCCAAGAGCTTGAAGGTATGCCTCTCATTGCCCAAAACAGCCATCAGTTGCCCTGCCAGGCCTGCAATCACCACATTGAAGCCCACACGCGGCCTCCAGGCTGCAAAGGCTTTCAAGGCCAGGACCAGCTTCACCCGGCCTTGCTGCTGACTGTAGGATGGAATGGCGGGCAGCTTCAATCGCTGCGTCTCGTCATACACGGCCTTCCGATTCTTCTCATGCATCTTTCGCCCAACGCCCACGACTTTCGTTGGCTTCACATCCAGCGCCGCCTCCAACTCCCACGTCACGGTCTGCGGCACCGTATCTACCGCTCGGAGCACCCACTCGGAGAAGGTGACGGGGGAATCGTTGCAGAGAGATTGCCAGAGGGCGTTGTATTCCTCGCACAGCCTGGGGCCTTGCCATTGTACATTCACCTGTTGCTCCCTGCTATGTTGGGAGTGGTCTTTCATGGCGGTAAACCGCCCTGGCTCCGCGGGCATGGCCGATCAAATGATCGAGAAGCACCGAGGCCCGACAGAGGTGCCGAGGACGACTTTTGGGGCAATCTGTCGTGCTGCTTGTGCGCAAGCATCCTTCCTGAGATTCTCGCATATTCTCGCAACATGTATGCTCTATATACTTGGGGTACCGTGCTTGGATCCGCACGCATGTATTTCACTTACAATTCTGCCCGATGCTGTGAGCCTCACACTCCTTGCTGCTTGGTCACCACTGCCGACTGCCCACCCCCAAAACAAGAAAGGCAGCCGAGGCACAATGCGTCAACAAGCCAATCACCAAGATCCTACACTGGAAAACCTATTCCAAAACAGTGTCCTGACTTCCCTTGTCGTTCTTAATCCGAACCGACTTGAGCCGACCTGCCGGACACACCGAACGCCCGCTCCGGGGCCTCGCGGGGCCGGTCGAGGGCCGCTCCGGTTCTATGGGCCTCCGCGAACGGCGCAACGGAAGTGACGGAGGTCGGTTGGAAAGTCCGTATTTTGGGGCTTCGGAACAACCATGCTTTCCTTAACTTAGTTACTTAGTTCCATGATGATGGTCCTTGTTCTTATACATTCTGTTCAAGATTTTTCAAGTATGGCAGTGGCGGTGACATCACGCGCATCACGCAAACGTTTTTGTGGCAGTCCAAGCTTCTACAGTTGACGGAAGGGCGGGTACAGCAACTGGCACGACATGACTAGCTTGAGCTGAAGAGCCTGCGACTTGAACTCATTCAAGCACGTCTCAGACTACTTGGCGATGCGGTCCATCATGCTCTCAGCGCTGATCGGCATCCTGCGCCGCAACTAGAAAAAGAACTGATGCGTCTGTTGAACTTCTAGAACTTCATCAGCAATCTCAACATTGTCCTTGCACAAATCAACACTTTTAGCATCTTTTGGCATTTTGTCCAAAAGAACGGACAGGTACCCTCAACTAGCTCACCATAGCTCACCATAGCTCACCTGTCTGCAGTTCGCCGTAACGTCCGGCTCCGGCGATTCTTCCCGACGGCTCCGGCAGTCCTGGCCACCGCCGTGCCCAAGTCGTTTGGACTCAGCCTGAGGCGCAGGAGGCGGAGGCACACATCAAATGAGCCGCGGCTACCTCCCAAGGTTGCATGAGACGTACAGTAGGTACCAGTAGTCATGTGCCTGAGTCCCATCGTCTTGGTAAACGGCATTCGTTTAACAAGCCAGCATCCCACGATCCATCAAAACCTGCATCTCTTCGACACCTGTGTGTTGTGAACATCATGGTACGATTCATCCAATGACATGACATTGCTGTTTCACTAGCCATCTCCCTTAATCCCATGGGGCAAAACGTCTGCCACCATCTGCCACCAGGCCTCAGTCATCCTCGCCTCGCGGCCGCAGCGCGCCGTGGAGGGGGTCCAAGGTGTGAGCAGCGAGGTGCTCACTGATGTCACAGGTGGTATCTTGATTGCCCTCCAAAAACCTGCCAATCGCGCTGCCTTGCTGACAAATGGAAGCAAACTCCTCACTCTTTGGGTTTTTCTCTCACCAACGACGAAGGTGCGAACTCCCCAGCCTGGGCGAGCTGCAGTCCCCAAGCAGGGGACCGCGCGGAAGGCTTTGTCGCCGTCCCACTGGTCAGAACATCCGAAGACCCGCACAGCCGGGGGTGATCTCGAATGGATCAATCCGGTGGATCGACAATCGGGTTCGAGGTGTGAGGTGTGTATCATTTTGGTTGACAGTTGGTCACACTTCTTTCGGCGATCGGCAGGACATGGGCTGCCCCACGCAGTTTGTTTTCCGAGCTAAACTCTGGACTCACTGGTCTCCGCCGTCAGCGAACTGGTCTGCATGTCTGACCTGCAAGGAAAGGATCGTGGGGATCAACTTCGATCGTTGGGCCCTGCTGCATTGCTGCCGCGGCACGCTACAACTTATGATTCTCTGACCCTTGCTGCGGAATACCAAGATTGAGACTAAAAAACCTTCATTTTAGGACAAACATGGACAAACTGTGCTGCTGGCACATCCATGTCGATGGCCAAGGAGGACTGAAGCAAACACGTCGCCCAGGCCTCCAACCTCTGGAGGCCTCTCAGGATCACTTTAGGAAGTCAAGCCATGCTGCTCAGTCCACAGCTGGTTAGCTGCAAAAGCATCCATATACTCCACGTGGCGTCAAACATTGTCACACCATCGCTATGTGCCTACACCTTTTGGACAACGCACACAGGACCGCGTTCGCTGCTGGGACCTTACTTATAAATTTCGGGTCCCATTCCCGGCCTGGCTAGGCATTGATTCAGGTGGGGTGGAGCCATTGATTGGATCCAATTCGTCGAAGAAAGTGCATCATAGTGCATCTTTCCTCATTGCCACCCCCACCCCGTTGAAGGATTATGATCCCAATTTGGCAGCACCAATGGCGCGCGCAAATCTCGGATCTGTGGAGGTCAACGAAAAAGCCGTGCGCTGACTGGCCGGAGATGCCTAGAGAGCGAGCCCTCTTTCTGGCCCAGCCATGCACAGGCCTTGACAGAAATGCGTGAACCGGTGCAAAATTGCAGCCCAAAATGAACACATTCGAGTCTGCTTGGGCTGAGGGGTCGCGGCATTCCTGGTCTACACTTGAAGAGATTCCAATCCACCGACTTTCGCGGGGGTGCGGCAAGTTGGCAAGTCTTGCAACCGCGACAACAAAACAAGTGTGAAAAGAAATGCCAAAAATGGTCAAACGGTCAATAGAAGGTTTGTTTATAGGCCAAATAAGTCCATCGCAGAACCATAGTTCAGTTGCATCACTTGAGCAAAGAAAATCTATGCACAACACTGTGGCGTGCGTGCGCTACTGGTTGCCTCGGGGCTGCCGGGTCGAGACCGTGCGGTGTTTGGCTTCAAATGCGCCAGGACACGCACAAGTCAGGGAAACGGACTTGGCAACCCCAATTCCGTTGCACAAATTGAGCTGGCTGCAGAATCCGGATGAATCAGGGTGGGAAATCCCCTGGGTCCGTGTCTGGCAATGAGATGGCATCCCCCGTCTCTGGCGAAGCCGTCTCTGGCGAAGCCCTCGACCTGAAGCCACGGCGCAGAACAGGGCGGTCGCGAGAACCTTTCATGAAGATAGCCGATGGCTGCATGAAAGCAGGCACCGGAAGATCAGGCTTGAAGGCGAGCTTCAGCACGGTGGTTGGCTCATGTTTCCATCGGAGGGATGTCAAGGCCTCTGGGGCGCCATTGAGGATCACCTAGAGCTAGCACTGATGCACTAAAGGACCAAGTGCTGCAAAAAAGGAATAACTAGCATTCGAATCTGATTTGTGATTGGTTTGTTGGGCATGGAACCAGGTTCCACAAAATTTTGGATACCAATATATAAACATTGCTCAATATTCTTCACCATTGGTCGGGGCGTGCCCCAGTGACTTGATCTTTAAACAAATACGCTGAGACTTGATTCCGAAGTCACTTCACTGCCCTTGCGGAGGTCTTCGGCCTTCACCGTCTTGTTGCCAGGAACCACGATCCGATGGTCGGGGCTCACCACCAGACTTGTCCGCCCCACCTGCAACTCCACCACATCCTGAACTAAATGTGGCTCGGGTCGACGAAGCACTTCGCTTGAGACACCATTGGCTGCGACCACCTTGTCTCCTGCATCCAACCCGCTGGCTGGCACAAAGACCTTTCCAAACTCCTGGCTCAGGACCTCAAAGCAAGTGCCTGGCAGAACACAGCATGGCTCCGAAGTTACCAAAACTCCTCAAGCACTTGCACGACCTGTCTTGCCCCTCCTGGCATGACCAAACGACTTGCCACCATCGTCAGCACATCTGGCAAAGAATTCCGCAACTGAATTGCTGTGATCAAAAAAAGGGCCAAATCTTCTGCAGTCATGCCCTCTACCTTCTCCTGAAATTCAGCCACAAGTCTTGGCACAATCTTCAGCACCTCTGGGGCAGCATTCTGCAACTCAACTGCTGCCCAGGCGCACCGAACTAGATCTCCTGCAGTCATGCCC